AGAGACGTGGTTGAATCCCATAAAGAAAAGTGGTAGGTGTAAGACAAATTACTCTGGATGATTTAGTTTTATCTATTACATGACCACTGTTGACCAGGAGTGGTAGAACAAAGATTACTTATTGTTTTGATCATTTCGTGGATCCTTCATCCTCTCCAATGAACATGGATCTAACCTCCTACACGAACAAGCTTGCAAACGTAATGCGTTCAGTTGAACCTGTTTCCACTCGACCGCAATCAACTGATGTTTTCGTTCAACCTGACCTACGATATATTACACACGTCTTCGTGCGTCGAGACTCGCATGGACGACCTTTCGAATCAGCATACGAAGGACCTCTCAAAGTTCTTCAACGCGAACTGAAGTACAATAAACAGAGGTCAACTGTACTAGATATTCTCTTCACCGCTTAAGCCAGTCTATCGCGTAGCACATCACTAGCTATGTCTCCATTGATTTGTAGTCTCAGAAAGAGGGATTTCTCATCAACCGTTGACGTTGTAGCGGTAAATAAATCTCCAAAATAAATAACTCTGTAAGTTTTCGACATTGGATGCCGACCACAAGTTTTAATAGACTCACCTATCTGAAGGCGCTCGGTCATGCATCCGCACCAGATCACGAGTGGGTACGCCGTGCTCAACATCCGCTGCAATCGCTAGCCAGATTAGATCAGACGATCCTCGATATATTGATAGCTTATCAAATATATCTTCAAACCCCCTCGCTTCTGTCTTTTGATTTCACGTGGTGGATACGCTTCATATAGGTGTTACTGGTTAAAGAGTGTCAAACTCGAATACCTGTGGCATCTTCAACATCATTATCTTTCTGTTCACTTCAGCCATATATTCGTCAGAAAACTGCGGTTAACTCATATCAGTCAGTATATTATGAGTAAACTGTAGTTACTTATTTATAGCGTTTGTCGAGCATATCTCGATAGCTCTACGTGCAAGATGTCTTACTATGTTTCTCTTACAATAAGTGAGTACAAAGCTAAGGAAATGTTTTTTATACCAGCAAACGTATTCTATACATCAATTTGCTGATCAAACCATTATCTTTTCTGTTTAGCAAAACGTTGATGAAATGCGTCTCGCCATCGATATCTTGCTCACACGTAAGTCTGCTAGGTGTATACTGTTAAATAGTCTTAAGAGGATTCTGAGTAACGTTTATAAAAAATAAACATAATGCATTAAGGTAATGAGAAAGTGATGGTCATTAACTTTAATGACTCAAAAAACAATGATTAAGAATACCCATCCCCTTGTAGAATTGTCAATCCCTACACGGATTATTCAAAGTTCCTACGAAACGTCTTGGATTTTGGCGCGGAATCCATTCGTCCATTTGATTAAGGAGCGTTTTTGGATTTTAGCAGTCAGTTCGTGATGAAAAATCTGGGTCTAATTCCTAACCCTAACCATCAACTCTAAATCGTAATCCTTATTCTTCACACAGGTTTATAACTGTCATTTAGCCCTAATGGTTAGGTGGATATTCTCAAGGTTACTTTAACTTCACTCATAGTCGGCCATAAATTATATATTTTATGGTGAGAGTATATAGTCTCACCGTTGAAATTTCCCAGTATTGGGACCATATGCATGAGACTCAGTTGACTTCTAAAATCAGTAGTAATTTACGGTTATTAGGCAGGATGTTAGTTACGTATGGTTAGAATAACAAGTAGTGACAACCCAGCTGAGCGGTTACTACAAGTGGAGCAAGACACTCTACACATAGACCAACGTTAACTGTCACCGCGCAACAACCAAATGTCTGTCGCTGTAGAGACAGCGAAACGTCACTGAGACCCAACATGCTGAATTACTTCTACGTTTGGCGATATATCACTGGGAAGCATCAAACATCGTGTATCGAACATCGTCAACGACGACTAACACCCATGACCATACGGCGCTGGTTTTATTCTGTTTCTCCGACCTATACTTGCATCATGTTTGTTCTATATGTTCATCGAATTAGCCACGGTAGTTGGATATCACGGCAGGTTAGTCCACATTAGGTATTGACTTCCACGTAGGCTTGGAGGTCACTGTTCTCTCATAACTCGGGTAAACCTTCTTTACCAGTGATATCCACTTCAGTCCTGATATGAATTAACTTAATCAATCATGATTACTCAATAAAACCCCAAAAATCAAAAGCCAGGTCACTTATGACCATTTTCCTTAAGTAAACTTGTATACATCTTATAGTGATCTCGTTAAGTAACATGCTCAAATGATATGATATTGAAAGTTTAGTATGAAGTGTTTTTTATGGTTATACATCAGTAGATCACACGTACAAATTGAGAGGTCTGTAAGAATAGTGAAGGATTGTAGATCACGTAGTGATTAATTATGTTACATGTGAACTGACTTGACAATCAGATTGTCTCCGTTCAAGTTTAGCGTGGAGATAATTGACTCGGTCTACCAACCCATCGACTTAATACAATAAGCAAACACGGTCACGTATACTTTATTGTATATGAATAAGAGTCAATGACCAACAATATTTGAGTAATTATTGGGGTAGAAAATGGCACATTTCCTAATCACGCTTCTTATCTGTACAGATATGGAGAGGTTTTTGTAGATTTGTGATTCAGGAGAACAATATATGTCTACCTCTGTTTAATACTTAAATACGAAATTTATGAAGATCATTTGATAGCTTAACTGTTAAAAATACGTTGTAAGACGAAGAATATTTAAGGACTGAAATTGTGAACCATATATATTAGGTTAATGAATCTGATTAACAGACTGGAAACGTGGAAGTGGAAAGTAATCGGAATCTGCATGAAGTCCCAAACAAGTGATCGAACGATATTCAAATTAAGATGTTGAAATGTAGTAGACTCATATGCTTTCGAACATCTAAGAGAGTTCGTGAAAACCCACAAGTCCTCGAATTTTGATTTATGCATTTTTTTAGACTACTAAGTCTACCGTGTAGGTAAATAAGACAGGCCGATACGATCGTAAAATTCCACCAAATGTAGATGAATATATTTTTTAAGTGTTTCTGCTCTGAGGAGTCTCCAAATGGTGTAGTCTACGAATGAATATTTTGCCGCAGGTTGAGGCATAGAGTTCGAATTGTCAATAAAAAATTAAGAGTTGTTGGTTGACTGATAAGTTTATTAACATTTTTCCATTCTTTTAAGTTTGTCATTATAAAATGCGATCAAAAGAATGCTACAATTCTAACACAGTCACAACAAGTTCATTTGAAGTTTGTAGCCAGACCACTTAGAGTCTTTCGTTATCCTGAAGAAATCACGTGACGACTTGGAGTTTTCAGGGAGAAACTTTTTTTAGAAGGGATTGTAGCAACCGGACTATATATTATTCCTATTATTCCTATGAATGAGGAAAACGATCCAATCAAACGATGTCCGATCAGGCTGAAGTGTTAATTTTTTTCGGTGTGTACATCTGTTTTGGGTCACTAACAATCAACAATTTTATGGAAACAAATTGGTAAGTAATTTACACAGTATATATCATATCAATATCCCACAATGTTAATTTCTAACTTTGATCCGAGATGTTGCGCGATCACCGTATTGACATTTATCAAATTCTTACTAGAAAAAATGTCCATAGTTCTGATGAAAAATCGTGACGAAAGGTGTTCAACCATGTCAAGTGTGAGGTAGTGATTTTGGAAGATAATAGGAGACGGTCTCACAATACAAATGACTGATTGAAGCTAAACATCAACACCGCTGGATGTCGGATGGAAGATCCTTGGTTAGATTCACGCGTTTGAGATTGTTGATGCCTTCTGCTGGGAAATCCCATGCTGAGACGAAAATGTTGTTCAACTCTTTCAGGTTTCCTGTGGTGGATTTACTTAAACCCGTTTATGATTTTAATGAAAATCAACAATCTCCACGTCTTAGTACTGAAAATTTCTTTGGGTCACAAAATTTCTACTGAGGTATCAAACCATTCTCTTAGTACAATGAAAACGCCCAAAATTCAGCGGGAAATCAATGCCTAGATTCTTTTCCGTGGTGGAAACTATAATACTGGAGTCAATCCAGAAGTATGTAATGGATGGAGTTCGCTGGTGTTCTTGTTAGTTCAGCTATTTATCTTATGTAAGCCTCCATGGAGAGTCAAGACATCTTCTGGACCTCTAGATCTTAAGGCCATTAAAGTAAATGAGAGTCTGAGAGTATAGAGATCTAGACATACTGTCTGTCTATAGATCATCTCTCGACACATTAAAACAAATATTATCAGACTTGCACATACAATTATCTTTTTACAAACTTTAAACGTAGGTCTCATGTCACATTCAATGCACTGGTAACATTGAAGCGCATTTTTGGCCAGTTTGATGAAAGAACTTTCCACATAATCTCCAACAGTTTCATTCGTCCCTATTTAGAGTATGGAAACATAGTATTTTCTCTCTCACCCCCAAAGGATTAGGACACTATGGAACGTATCCAACGGCGAGACGAAAAATCAGTTCGGCGACTCACATTCAAACCTTATGAATAACGCCTCCAATCACTGAACCTTTGCCCATTAGATTACGGACGTCCCAGAGGTAACCTTCTAGTGGCTTACAGTATCCTAAATACTTATGAACACCCCCTTAAACATCTACTTAAGCTTAGTATCCATACAAAGCTAAGGAGTAACACTCAGAAACTGGAGACACAACACAGTAGGATGGACTGAAGACACAACTTCTACTCTTTAAGAGTCATTAAATGCTGGAATTCGCTGCCGTCCGAGCTAGCCTATGCGGCTTTCTAGGAGTCCTTATAAAGAAAACTTAAATCAATTGACATATTCCTAAGGACTAAGTATGATATCATACTATAATTTACCAATTTCTTTGTCCTCTTTTGCCGACAATATACCTAGGTTCTTGCTTGGAGGTATTGTTAGTCAGTTGCTACTAGACACAGAAACCCGTTAAGCGAAACATTTTGAACCAGATTTCAGACACAATTTGTACATTGAGGGCGCATATTTTAAATGGTGACCTAGTCAGGCTATATAGCTGCAAGCACTTTCACTGGTTGAATATCCTTATTATTAAATAGGTTTGTTGGGATATGGGAGGTGTAGTTTGTTCTGTCATTTCTTTTGCATAACCAAAATTTTTCAGTTGCACTATTTCCTACTTCGTTTCGTTAAACGAATATGTCATTGATACTCATCTGCACACAACTGACGTGAAACTTACATTTAATAAAGGTAGATTGCTAGCTCCAGTGAGACTTGTTTTATCGCTGAGCTTACAGATGGCTTCATCGCTCACCATCTTGATTTTAGAATTCTGAGGCATATGCTTAGTATTAGACGTATTGATACTATTTAGCTAAATGTTCGTGGTCCTAAAGTGAAATGAATAATGGCAAGTTCGAACTTGTAATGGATGTACTGGATTCGAGTTTGTATTGACAGCTATTAGTCACATAAAATCTGAGTTAACTTGATATATTTTAGTTCTTCAGTGGATCGTTCGCATCCGTCTAGTGCCTTACGTCTCTCTGATGACAAGTATATTCATAGTGTCAATGGAAAATCAAATATGTCCTCATAAGGCTTTTCTTTAATGGACCACGCAACTAAACATTATAAGTAAAAGGTACAAATTGATAATGTGATTATAGATGTATTAGTTGTGATGAAAATAGTAAAGGCTTGAATCAATGTCTTATAACAGGAAGTAGTAGATCAAAGACTTGGAAAAATAGACATTGAAATGAAATTCATTAAAAACCAACAAGATTACCAAATAAGAAGCGTCCAAACAATTAGACTGAAGAGTATATTCAAATAAGGGATGAAGAAGAACAAACTCGGAAAGAGTATGGAAAATGATGAGTGAAATCACTTGTGAAGCCTAGTTGGGCCAAAGAAAAGATAAGGGTGTTAAAAATTTCTTATGATTACCGAGACGGGTTATTGGTTGGGATCACTATAGTTATTGTTACCTGTAAGAGACGTGGTTGAATCCCATAAAGAAAAGTGGTAGGTGTAAGACAAATTACTCTGGATGATTTAGTTTTATCTATTACATGACCACTGTTGACCAGGAGTGGTAGAACAAAGATTACTTATTGTTGTAATCATACTCTTTTCCAATCACGAACGTAACTGTTCTCTAACTCGTTAACTAAGGTCGACTCTTTGAACGTGCACCTCGTCTCATCTTAATAAGTACGGTGATAGCACAAAAGTTACCCACAGGAGGTCGTGTGTTGCTGGACTCAAGCAGTTTTCTCTTGGGTACTGTGGTCACGTTGTTAGGTCACTAAGACCAACTCTAACCCAATTATTTTTTCAGGTACCTCTAGAATAACCCTTACGCTGTGTGGGCAACCGGGAAATGAAAACTGCCCTCAGATTGCCAACCACACTCAAGAGCACCCTATTTGATTTCTTCAAAAAACTTCGCCGGTAACTGATACAGTCAATATATTGCGAATAAACTGTAGTTACTTATTTATGATCTTTATCGAGCAGATTTTTCTGGCTCTATTTGCGAAGTGTCTTATTAGGTTAGGTTTCTCTTGTAACAAATAGGTAAAAAGCTCAAGATATGTGTGCGAATGGTTTATTTTGTTGTTTTGTCACATGGAGTACGCTAATCGAGATATAGAAAGTATCCATCTGTTCAGATCTAGGTGCGTCCCACTTTTATGTTCATAAACAAAAACCATTCTAGACCGTTATATGTATCGGTAGCCACCATAACATGAAGTCGCTATAGTTTTTAACATTTCACGCTTTATTCAATCCAGTACTTCGGAAGATTTATTTAAACCACCATCTAGTTTAAAAATAAAGATCCCAGTTCAATATCTTCCTGTTTGTGTTCGTTCACTTGCTTAAAATATCTAATCGCGAACAAGTGGATCTTAAGTATTTTTATGTAGGAGGATGGAGAGTTTTGGATGTGTAAACTCAGTACTCCGAAATATTTTACTACTGAAAACGCAAATTTATAGAGTAGGTAATGCATGAAATTTTTAGAACGAACTTTTTCCAACCTTCATTTGTGAAAAGACAGTATCTATGTAGATGCTCGTTATCTGTAAGAAGTACTTTAATGCGGTCGTACCTTAGCGCAGTAGGCAATACGACTTCGCCTTCGGGCCTTGAGTTTCTAATTTTAGTCCTACCCTTTTTCTAGCCGACCTGCCTAACGTGGTTGGACCTAAAGAGCCAAAAGTCCCACTCAATACATCTCGATTGGGTCATTATGATAGGCAAGCCCAACCGCCAAGTAAAGTTAGTAGTGACTTTGGATTTGACTGATGGACCGAGAAATCTTGCAAATGAAATGGTCCATTACCATATACATTAGTTTTACGCCCACGGTTTCTAGTGTTTCTGTACAGATTTTTCTATTTAAAGCCCTCAAATGCCCTGGTATGACCGAGGGTGGGGTGGGGTGGGCCCGCCCACCTATCGAAATGCTCTCACAAGCCACGCGTATACAGCCTCTGTCAGGGGAGTCCTACTCACTGCCTTCTCGTGGCGGGGGTGTTGTTTACGAAAATGAGAGGATGAAGAGCGAATGTCCGGCGCTTTAACCGGATCCCAAACCAATGGTGCACATGGGCTCCAGTATCCTGAAGGAACAAATGGCGTATGAACTAATCGTTGGTCACCGGGTACCATGGGACTGCATCTCCTCATGATGCTCCACTGCCTTGTGGGTTAGACCTTTAGGTTAAAGGCTCGGGGTGTGGCCCCCTAAGAAAACCACCTGCTTCGGTCTGGGCAGCTTGGCAGTATCACAGCCCACACACACAAATATGGTGTGGCGCATATATATTTGGTGCCCTCTTCTACCAATATCTGTGTTCAAGTAAATAGTAAAAGTAGTTTCTATTTAAAGCTCTATTACTTGTTATCCGGTGTTTTGGACAAACTTCATTTCATATTTCATGGTTTAACATTTTTAGTTTATCTTGAAAAATTTACTGACTATATAGTTGGATATCTATTAGTTTAAGGCAATCCCATTTAAATTCTTAAGTTATCCACATGGTAAGTTTAAGTGTACCAAACAGTGAGCCTTCATCTTCTTTTAGAGTTGCCGAAGCTTTTCCTGTGCATTTGAGAAAAAAGCCAAAACGATGCATATTAAAGGAACTTATTAAACATCCACTTTGATGCTAACCTTTCGTAAACCCATTACCTTCCCCATCTCTTTATCTACTAACTTTTTTATGTCCGTATGGTCCTTCCGAATACGTTTGACCTCAACATAAATATTATACCCTATCACTACTCAACCAGTTTTCACTGCTACTAATTTTCATTTATCTTGTTGAATATTCAGACTATCAATAGCATGTTCTTAGTTTCTCAATAAAGATAACATTTTCGTGCTATTTTTATTTTACCTCTTTGTTATTATGTTCAAAAAGTTATTGTCGTTATTATTACAATAATTACTATAACAGACGTATTAGTGCTTATCGTTTTGGAAAAGTATTTGTAACTGTACAGCCTTGAAAAGGAAGTCGCCAAAAAGAGAACTCTTTGCTTATCTAATCTTTCTTGATTTATATCTCAATGGTGGTATTGTGTTAATTTTGAACTTCGCTAATTAACTCTTTGTATTTTAAGTAGATTAACTAGGATTTAGTTGCAACGGTGTAAATGTTTTCATTCCTTATTTATCTACAAATCTTAAGTTTTGATATTCATGCTTTTCATTTAGTCTCTTTGATTCATTGCTTTCACTACCGTTCATATCATTATTTGTATTTGTTCGTTTTTCATATCGTTCGTTTCCTAGCACTATGCTAATACATTATTACAATTTTACACAGCGTTATGTTCTAGGCTGTTTACTACTGGGTTAAAATAAATGTTTACCGTTTGTCTAATTCTCATGTAACCCATCTGGGAAGTATAGGTTTATATTCCCAAGTCACGTTATGTAATAGTTATGCTCCCCAGATACCCAGACCGTAGTAGATGATAGAGAGATTAAAATTGTAGCCTACTGTTTGAAAGCCATATTTAGTAAGTCACTACTACTTCATTTGATTACACACAGATATGAAGATTGGTGCAGTCTAACGATAAATTTCATCAGAAAGATTCATACACATTATTTTTGTTCATTATAATTAATCGAATTTAACTATTTAGATTTGTTTTGTTTCAAGGTATGTTACCACCAAATGACTTATTGCAACTAACGGATGAGGATGTAAAAACATTAAAGAAGTGCAGACAAATCTCATTTTGGAGAGGCAGTCTCCCATTCTCCATCGGTGCTCTTTTAGCTGTTAGTGCTGCTGATAAATATGGATGGTTTTCAAAGCGTAAGATGTTTCGTTTTCCATCTTACTTTTTCGGAGTTACCATTGGTTATTTCGTTGGGCAATTCAGTTGCGCAGGAGAATGTAGACGTATGTTTCTCCAGCTTAACAATAGTCGAATCAAAGAACAGATTCTTAGAATGGAAACTCCCGGAACATTTCAACCTACTCCTGATTCACCTATACTTGTAAATACACCTGTAGAAAAACATCCACCTATGAATTATGAACAACGTAGACAGTTTTATAATAAGCAACGTGAACAATCTACATCTCCGTACCCCAGTTCCAAACCACCGACAACGATTGAAGAAGAGGATACAACATCCGATCAAACAAACTCAAGTCTATCGTACTTTGATAATGATAGACCAATTAGTTCATTTTATTATGATAATGATGTCTATCGACCTAAAGAGGAATAATTTGGTAACATAAAGAGAAATATGTATTTTGTGAAACAAACTGTTGTACGAATAGTAATATATTTAGTTGCTCTTATTTAATTTTTTTTAGATTTTCCTTCACATTCGGAGATATTTTTTGATTAGTAGCATATATACAGATAATAATTAATTTATCTATTCATTTATCCACTCAATTATCCTTGTTCAGTGCAGATTTCATAACTAATTGTAAATACACGTTTTGTGCGGAGTTTATTTGTTTATATGATAAAATTAAAGGGTCTGTACCGATCGAAGCTGCTACCTTGACGCGGTGGTCGGGCTTGCCTATCGTGATGACCCAACCGAGCTATATTGGCTGGAACATATGTTCTTGCAGGTTCTACCATGCCAGGCAGGTCGATTGGTGAACAGTAAGACTAAAAGCAGCAACTCAAGGTCTGAGGGCGAAGTCGTACTGCTGACTGTAGAGAGATGTGACAGCAGTAAGGTGTTTCCCTCGGACAACCAGCATGACAGCGATGCTGCCTTCCCACAAGGAGGGGTGGGGTTAGAAAAGGTCGACCCTAAAAATGTCACACCTCACCTTACCTCACGGATCTCCGTCTCCGGCGGTAAGACCCTTTGAAGAACGGAGCTAACACGTCAAAAAAAACCCACGAAAAGGCCGTGCGCGACCGGCCTCAAGCAGTTGTCCCTTGGGCTCTGCGGTCACGCTCCCAGGTCGTCAAGACCAACACTAATCCAATTTCCTTTTCAGGTTCCTCAAGAAATACCCTTCCACGGTGTGGGCAGCCGGGAAGTGACATCAGCCCTCATACCCGTAATAGCACAAGAGACCAAGGTGGTCACATTCAAATCCTTCCTACACCTCCTAATACCTCTCTTATCTCTATGACTAACCCTCCTCACGTCTCTTTATCACCTCGCACCGCTAGGGCAAACGATTCGAGTACGTGGAACGCCATTCCTGGTCTCCTGAAACCACGCTCTAAACTACACGTAGGAGCTTTTAACGTACGAACACTTTGTCAAATAGGACAGCAGGCTTCCTTAGCTAAAACTTTAGAATCTCGCGCCATCGATGTGTGCTGCGTCTCCGAAACGCGCACACAGGACCCAAGTAGCGTCATTCATTTGACCTCACCATGCCAAAATAAAGAACCGACTCGATTTACGCTTCGTGTATCTGGAAGCCCTGATTGTGCTTCCCGTGGCCTCGCCGGCGTAGGTATAGCACTGAGTCCTAGGGCAGAACTAGCTCTCTTAGAGTGGATCCAAGTAGACAGTCGTTTGTGCGCTGTCCGACTGAACGGAACAGTAAGAATCCGGAAAGATAGGGACACTCGTCGTTGCCTCTTCGTCGTCTCTGCCTATTCTCCCACTGACTGCAGCTCAGATGATGTAAAAGATGAGTTTTACAGAAAGCTTTCGGACCTTCTCCGAAAAGCTAAGCGCTCGGATGTAGTAATAGTGGCCGGTGACTTTAATGCTCAAGTAGGTAAACTAAGCGATAGGGAAAGACACCTAGGTGGATCTTATGGTGTCGTGGCTCAAAGAACAGATAATGGCGACCGTCTGTTGCAGCTATGCTCAGATAATCGCCTGTTCCTTGCAAATACTAACTTTAAGCATAAGGAAAAGCGTCTTTTAACATGGCGACCCCCTAATTCGTCCCAACGTTGGACCCAAATAGATCACATCGCTATCAGCCACCGCTGGAGGGTCTCGATAGAAGACTGTCGCTCATTCTGGAGCACATGCCTAGATTCAGATCATGCTCTAGTGCGAGCGCGTATTTGTTTGCATCTTACTGGACGTAGTGAAGACGCTGCAAGGAAACTTATTAGGGTTCTACTTAATGATAGTCAAGCTAAGAGTATATTTTAGGAACAACTAGGAAAACAGTTAGGCAGCCATGTATGTGATGCCTACCCTGAGGCAGCATGGAATGATATCCGAAAAGCTGTGGAAACAGCAGTGATATCTGCTAGTAAGGTAAACCATAAGGTTAGGGAGCAACACTGGATCTCAGCAGCATCTATCTCACTGTTAGATGCTCGGAAACTCATTCCACCTGGCTCTGAACATAATGAAGAGCGGAGTCAGCTTAAACGCAAGCTGACAAGAAGTCTACGCAATGATCGCGAACAGTGGTGGGTAGCGAAAGCAAGAGAGATGGAAAAGGCAGCGGCAATAGGTAATAGCAGACAATTGTTCAGACTCGTTAAGGAAACCGGAATTAGGAACCCGACCGTTAGCGAAACAATCTCAGAGAAAGATGGACATATTATTCATTCTCAATCCAGGAGATTGGATCGATGGGCAGAACACTTTAGGGGTCAGTTCAACTGGCCTTCAGCCACACTTCGGTTTCCCACGATCTCTAGTCAACCTGAATGGCAAGTTAATGTAGGTCCTCCGTCCCTTTACGAAGTTGAAAAAGCCATAGGAAATCTGAAACGAGGGAGAGCAGCAGGCCCTGACAGGTTTACTTCTGAGATTTCTAAGGATGGTGGTCCAGTATTAGCAATGAGATTAACCGAGGTCTTGGGTAGAATCTGGGAACTGGACGTAATCCCATCTGACTGGTCTCAATCACTGATTGTGCCAGTCTATAAGAAAGGACAAAAGTCCTCTTGTGACAATCACAGAGGAATCAGTTTGACTAATATAGTGTCTAAAATATTAGCCTCAATAATACTTCGACGCCTAATCAAAGCTCGTGAAGAGCAGATTAGAGAAAACCAGGCCGGTTTTCGACCTGGACGTGGTTGTATAGATCAGATATTCACACTACGTCAGGTTCTGGAACACAGACACACATTCAGACGCCCCACAATGGTAGTATTTCTCGACCTTAAGGCGGCATTCGACTCTGTTGATCGTGAGGTTCTATGGCAGTGTTTGTCACTGAAAGGAGTACCAAAGAAGTACATTAACCTTATAAAGGCTCTCTACTCGAACACAACTGGTAGAGTGAGAGCTTATGGCGAACTGTCATCAGAATTGATTACCTCAAAGGGTGTTCGTCAGGGCTGTCCACTCTCCCCATTCTTGTTCAACTTTGTGGTCGACGTACTTTTAGAGATAACACTCTCCTCATCTAAATTTCCAGGGGTTGAACTTCTACCAGGAGGATCACTTGTTGACTTAGAATATGCAGATGACATAGTTCTGTTTGGTGAAGACGCTGACAAAATGTAGAGTCTTCTGACCACTCTAAGCAACAATGCAAGCATGTTCGGGATGCGATTCTCTCCCTCGAAATGCAAAATGTTGCTTCAGGATTGGGTTACATTGACACCCGAACTAGTGATAGGGAGTGAAGTAGTTGAGTGTGTCGACCGCTTCACTTATCTTGGAAGTCTCATCAGCCCTTGTGGTCTGTTGTGTGACGAAATCTCAGCACGGATACAGAAGGCTCGACTAACTTTTGCCAACTTGCGTCATCTATGGCGTAGGCGAGATATCCGTCTATCAACCAAAGGACGTGTTTACTGCGCAGCAGTTCGTTCCGTCCTACTTTATGGCAGTGAAACATGGCCGGTAAGAGTAGAGGATATCCGTAGGTTACTAGTATTTGATCATAGTTGTCTTCGAAACATTGCTCCTATATCATGGGACCATCGAGTAAGTAACACAGTTGTTATGAAACGGGTACTAGGTAAGGATGGCAAATCAATTGATGAAGTAGTGAAACTTCATCAGTTTAGATGGCTGAGACACGTGTTACGTATGCCCAACGACCGACTGCCTCGACGTGCTATGTTCAGTGGTATAGGAGTAGGTTGGAAGAAAGCTAGGGGTGACCAGACCAAAACATAGCACAAGTCCATGAAGTCACTGACAAGTGAACTGAGCCATGTTGGTAGGTGTAGACTACCTGGTTGGGGACCACGAGATGATAGCAACCGATGGTTAGAGACCTTGAATGACATGGCTCAAAATCGTTTGCAATGGCGCAGGTGCATACACTCTCTGTGTTCTCCCAAATTCTAATCTTCTGAATTCTTCATGTCCCTTTTTTCCTCTTTCCAAATTTATTTCACTGGATTATGCTCCTTGAATAACATCTCCAAACCCTAATCTTCCCGATTACTGCTTATACTCTTATTACCTCTACCACTACGGGATTTGAATCGACAACTGCATCTCTGTGCTAATGTGGTGTGGCAACTCGAACTGATGTACGTACGTACGAAGTTCTGCGTTGTTACTGACTGACTGACTGACTGACTCTGTACCGATTTTTGTTTCTAGGAGTTGTTACTCTTACTGAGACTTATTTGTTAAGTTTTTGTTTGAGAATTAACACTAAGACTTGAGAAGCTGTAGCTTGATGTTCTCAGTACGTTTATTAATTAATTTAAATTTACCTTACCGTTGCTTGGCAACAGTCCACGAAGACAATGACTGTTGAGCTGAGCCGTGTAAGTGGATGTAGACTACCTGGTCGAGGTCTGTGTTATCGTAGCCAATGGTTATAGACTTTGGATGACGGCTGAAAATCATGCTCAGTAACGCAAGTATATTCATTTTTTGTCTTTCCTCAGGTCCTAAGTTAACTAATAAACCTTGTTTATTCCAATAATTTTTATTTTCTGTTAGAGTCGTATCTTCGATGCATAATATTTTCTCTTGCCAGTGGTACTGCCACTACTTTCACTACTCTGGGATTTACCGTGAAAGTTCTATTTTTCAGTGCGAATGCTGTGTGGTAATTTGAACCGATGTATACATATGACAGGTTCTACGTTACGTATGTCTGTCTGAATAACTCATAACTCAGGTAGAGTCTAAAGAAATAATTATTTAGTATCTAAAATCTTTTCAATGCTCTATAAACAATGTGTGATATTATTCTTTTAAGCATCCCCACTTTCGTACTGTTAGCGGGACATAGATTGGATTAAATCATGTTCCGTGCACGATAGTGTTGGTGTGCGCTGATTGGCTAGTTCTTATCCAATCAGCGCTAGTCGATACTTGTAGGAGACTAGAATCTCATGGAAATACCATAAATATACTGACGTTTTTCTTATTGTACTTCTTACTTCCATCTACCCTTGTTATTTGAAATGTAATTTCTCTCCTGTTCAACCGTGCTCTGATTTGTGAACTTGTCGAATGAATTAGTGTCCATGACTACTAAGCAATAGGAATAGCTGGGTCGTAATAAGAGAGAATTATAACACGTATCAAGCATCAAATGATTTGAAGATCAACAGTTTTATGTACACAAACTAC